GCTTAACCGACTAAGCCACCCAGGCGCCCCGAGTTTGGTAAGTTCTTATAGAGTTTGGATTGTAACCCTTTATCTGATATGTCATTTGCAAATATCTTCTCCCATTCCGTTGGTTGCCTTTTAGTTTTGTTGATCGTTTCCTCTGTGCAGAAGCTTTTTTATCTTGATGAGGTCCCAATCTCATTTTTGCTTTTATTTCCCTTGCCTTCAGAGATGTGCTAAGGAGTTGATGCAGCTGATGTCAAAGAGGTTTTTGCCTGCTTTCTCCTCTAGGGTTTTCCTTTCTCACATTTAGGTCTTTCATCCATTCTGAGTTTATTTTTGTGTATGTATAAGAAAGTGGTCCAGTTTCATTCTTCTGCATGTTGCTGTTCAGTTCTCCCAGCACCATTTGCTAAAGAGACTGTCTTTTTTTTCCATTGGGTACTCTTCTCCGCTTTGTCAAAAATTAGTTGGCCATACATTTGTGGGTCCAATTCTGGATTCTCTATTCTATTCCATAGGTCTGTGTCTGTTGCTGTGCCAATACCATACTGTATTGATGATCACAGTTTTGTTGTAGAGGCTAAAGTCCAGGATTGTGATGCCTCCCACTTTGGTTTTCTTTTTCAACATTACTTTGGCTATTCAGGGTCTCTTGTGGCTCCATACAAATTTTAGGATTGTTTGTTTTAGCTCTGAGAAGAATGCTGGTGCAATTGATTGAGATTTCATCGAAAAGTGTAGATTGTTTTGGGTAGTATTGACATTTTAACAATATTTGTTCTTCCAATCCGTGAGCATGGAATGTTTTTCCATTTCTTTGTGACTTCTTCGATTTCTTTCATAAGTTTTCTATAGTTTTCAGCTTACAGATCTTTTACATCTTTGGTTAGGTTTATTCCTAGGTATTTTATGGTTCTTGGTGCAACTGTAAAGGGAATATATTTCTTGATTTCACTTTCTCTTGGTTCATTATTAGTGTATAGAAATGCAACCGATTTCTGTACATTGATCTTATATCGTGCGACTTTGCTGAATTCATGTATCAGTGTTAGCAGCTTTTTGGTGGAATCTTTCAGGATTTTCATGTAGAGTATCATGTCATTTGCAAAAAGTGAAATTTCTACTTATTTTTTTTTTTTTGCCAATTTGGATGCCTTTTATTTCATTTCTTTGTCTGACTGCTGAGGATAGGATTTCCTACATTGTTAACACTATGTTAAGCAACAGTAATGAAGGTGGACATCCCTGTCATGTTCCTGATCTTGGGGAAAGCTCTCCGTTTTTCTGCACTGAGGATATTAGCTGCGGGCTTTTCATATATGGCTTTCATGATGTCAAGGTATGTTTCTTCTATCGCCACTTTCTTGAGAGTTTTTATTAAGAAAGGATGTTGTATTTTGTCAGATGCTTTTTTTGCATCTATTGACAGGATCTTATGGGTTTTATACTTTCTTCTATTAATGTGATGTATCACATTGATTGATTTGCAAATATTGAACCAGCCTTACAGCTCAGGAATGAATCCCGCTTGATCATGTGATAATTCTTTTAACTGTTAAATTCGATTTGCTAGAATCTTGTTGAGAATTTTTGCATCCATGTTCATCAGGGATATTGGCCTGTAATTCTCCTTTTTAGTGGTGACTCTGTCTGGTTTGGGAATCAAGGTAATGCTGGCTTCACAGAATAAGTCTGGAAGCTTTCCTTTCATTTCTATTTTTTGGAATAGCTTGAGAAGAATAGGTATTAACTCTGCTTTGAAGCCCTGGTAGGATTCCCCTGGGAAGCCACCTGGCCCAGTATTCTTATTTATTGGAGATTTTTGATAACTGATTTAATTTCTTCAGTGGCTATGGGTCTGTTCAAATTTTCTATTTCTTCCCATTTGAGTTTTGGTAGTGTGTGGGTGTCTAGGGAATTGCCCATTTCTTCCAGGATGTCCAGTTCATTGGCATATAATTTTTCATTGTATTCTCTAATAATTGTTTGTATTTCTGTGGTGTTGGTTGTGATCTTTCCTCTTTCATTCGTGATTTTATTTATTTAGATTCTCTCTCTTTTCTTTTAGAGAAGTCTGGCTAGGGGGTTATCATTTTTGTTTATTCTTTCAAAAAACCAGCTCTTAGATTCATTGACCTGTTCTAGTGTTTGTTTGTTTGTTTGTTTGATTGATTCTCTATTGTTTATTTCTGCTCTAATCTTTATCATTTCTCTTCTTATGCTGGCTTTAGGGTTCCTTTGCTGCTCTACTTCTACTTCCCTTAGGTGTGAGGTTAGGTTTTGTATTTGGGATTTTTCTTGTTTCTTGAGATAGGCCTGGATTGCAATGTATCTTCCTCTTATGACTGCCTTTGCCGCATCCCAAAGGGTTTGGACTGTCATGTTTTCATTTTCATTTGCTTCTATATGTTTTTTAATTTCTTCTTTAATTGCCTGGTTGATCCATCCATTCTTTAGGATGTTCTTTACCTCCCTGAATTTGGAGGTTTTCTAATTTTTTTCTTGTAGTTGATTTTAAGTTTCAGAGCATTGTGATATGAAAACATGCATGGTATGATATCAGTTCTTTTATATTTATTGAGGGCTGTTTTGTGACCCAAGTGATCTATCTTGGAAATGTTCCAGGTGCACTCAATAAGAATGTGTATTCTGCTGCTTTTGGATGAAAAGTTCTGAGTATATATGTTAAGTCCATCTGGTCCAGTGTATCTTTCAAGGCCATTGTTTCTTTATTTATTTTCTGCCTAGATGATCTGTCCATTGTTGTAAGTGGAGTATTAAAGTCCCCTGCAGTTACCATATTCTTATCAAAAAGATTCCTTATGTTTGTGATTTATATATTTGGGTGCTTCAAGTTGGGAGAATAAACATTTATAATGATTAGCTCTTTTTGATAGACCCTGTAATTATGATTAATGCCCTTCTTCATCTCTTGTTATAGTCTTTAACTTAAAATCTAGTTTGTCTGATATAAGTATGGCTACTCCAGCTTTCTTCTGACTTCCAGTAGCATGGATAGATAGATCCCCATGCCCTCACTTTCAATCTGCAAGTCTCCTTAGGTCTAAAATGAGTCTCTTATAGATAGTATATAGACGGATCTTGTTTTCTTTTTTTTTTTTTTTTAATCCATTCTGATACCCTATGTTTTTTGATTGGGGCATTTAGTCCATTTGCATTCAGGCTTATCATTAAAAGATTTGGATTTAGTGTCATTGTGTTATCTGTAGATTTCATGCTGGTGGTGATGTCTCTGGTCCTTTGTAGTCTTTGCAGTATTCCACTCACAGAGCCCCTCTTAGGATCTCCTGCAGGGCTGGTTTAGTGGTCATGAACTCCTTCAGTTTCTGTTTATCTGGGAAAACCTTTATCTCTTCTATTCTGAATGACAGTTTTGCTGGATAAAGGACTCTTGGCTGTAGATTTTTCCTATTCAGTACATTGACTATTTCCTGCCACTCCCCTCTGGCCTGCCAAATTTCAGTGGACAGATCTGCCACTATCCTTATGTGTCTTAAGGCCCATTTGCCCCTAGCTGCTTTCAGAATTCTCTCCTTATCTTTGTATTTTGCCGGTTCCAGTATGATATGACATGGTAAAGACCAGAATGTTGAATCTGAAGAGCGTTCTCTGTGCCTCCTGGATTTGGATGTATCCTTCCTTCCCCAGATTAGGGAAGTTCTCAGGTATATTTTGTTCAAATATATATTGGCCCCTTTCTCTCTCTTCTTCTTCTTCTAGAAGTATTATGATATGGCTATTATTATGTTTCATTCAATCACTTAGCTCTCTAATTCTCTCCTCATGGTCTAGTATTTTCTTACCTCTCTTTTCCTTGGCTCCATCATTTCCATAATTTTATCTTCTATTTCACTTATTCTCCCCTCTGCTTCCTCCATCCTTGCTGTCACTGCATCTAGTTTATTTTGCACCTCATTTACAGCATTTCTTAATTCATCATGACTATTTCTTAGGTCCTTGATCTCTGCAGCAATAGAATATCTGCTGTCTTCTATGCTTTTTTCAAGCTGGACTACTAATCTTATGACTATTATTCTAAATTCTTGATCAGATATATTGTTTATATCTGTTTTGAGCAATTCTCTAGCTTTCATTTCTTCCTAGAATTTCTTTTGAGGAGAATTCTTCCATTTCATCACTTTGGCTAGTTTTCTATCCTTTACATGTATTAATAGTTTGTTATGTGACCTGCACCTGTGAGCACTACTATATTAAAAAGGGGTCAGACATTGTCCAGGGCCTGGCCCTTCAGGAGGTTTTTGGGGTATGCTGCACTCTGTACCTGATTTATTAAAACTACAATGTATATCAGTTTTTCCAAATTAAATTTAGTCCACATTAAGAAAAGTTTTCTGTTCTGTTGGATCCTCTTTTATTTTTTTTATACATTTTCTTAATGTTTTATTTATTTCTAGGAGAGAGAGAGACAGCGTGAGCAGGGGAGGGTCAGAGAGAGAGGGAGTCACAGACTGAAACAGGCTCCAGGCTCTGAGCTGGCAGTCAGCACAGAGCCCGATGCGGGGCTCGAACCCATGAACCATGAGATCATGACCTAAGCAAAAGTCGGATGCTTAACCGACTAAGCCACCCAGGTGCCCCTGTTGGGTCCTCTTTTAGAAGCATCATAAATACATAGGCTTTCACTAATTAAGGTAATTATTTTCACAGATGCATGGACAGTGTCACTTATCCCCTTGAAATGCCATTAATTCACACACACACACCACACACAGACATTGTGTATGTGTATGTATATATATATATATATACACACCCACATTTATATAACTATATATATAACTTTATATATATAACTACATATGTGTGTATATATATAAAACATTTGCATTTTGCTTCTGAATAGGTCAAGGGTGGCTTTACCTTTTCTCACAAAAAAGAGATTCTCTACAATCAGGAAATACAAACTGTTGGATCCCTTAAGGCACAAAATATGGTATGGCTGTTTTTGTTTTTTTTTTAAGCTAATAACTCACATATTGTCATTTATATTCCGCATGCATTCTTGTTTTCTGAGTTCTTCTCTGGCCACCTTTAGCTCATTGATTGGTTCTGCCACTCGCAGTGTTGGCTCCAAAGGCTTGTAGCGCTGTTCCAGTACTTCAGTGATATCACGGAATGGTCCCTGACAAGAAAGAATGAGGAAATATTTTATTATGGAAGTTTTTGTCATATTATTGATGACTAAGGGTGTTGAATATCTGTGAAGTATAGCATGTTTACCAAATTATCTTTTAAGAACAAGCTGTTCTCTGAATTAGAAAATTCATTCAATTAGTAAATACATAAGAGGGTGCCTGGGTGGCTTGGTGATTTCAAGCCCCACGTTGGGCTCCATGCTGTCAGCACTTGGGATTCTTGACCTCTCTTTATCAAAATAAATAAATAAGCTTTAAAAAAGTACATAAGAATATCCTCAAGAAATAGTCACATAGTAGAAGTGATTATATTAAAATATTTGATATTAACCAGAATTTCCTTACTTACATCAAAAGACTTTTCATGCTAAAATTCTTAAATTTGTAGTTAAGTTACTTTGTTTTCTAATTTTAGAAAATGTTTCTTCTGGTATAATTTTAAGAAAATTCTCTCCCTTTGTAAGCAAGTAAAAGTATTAGGAAAACTTCTGAGCTTTGCTTTTAACAAGGTCTCTTATAAATAGAAATAAGGTAGGAAGTGTTTTTTCATTAAACTAAAACTTGGAGTTTAATGCCACAAGTTATACTTAATTGGTGATCCTCCAAAACACAGAGGGGCCATAATTTTAATTAATTTAAGTGTTCTTTATTTAAAATTCTAAATTCTATTCCATGATAACTCTGATACAATAGCAACTATTTAATGACACAAATACATAGCAGAGGAAAGTGCATAAGCTGCAATAGTGAAAACTGTTTTACAACATATTGTACCTTTAAATTAGTAGTTACTTACACTAATTATTAGAATCCACTGGTTGTCTACTTGGTATCATATTAGGTACAATACAAGTCAGAAGTGGCTCTAGATTCTTTATGCCGTTAATTATATGCTGATTTCTTTTTTATCACTATTGTTGTGCAGAAGAGAAGTGATATAAAGTGGACAAAGATTCCTAATCATATTCCTTATTCTTAAAGATCTCTTCTTTAAATAGGTTATCACTAACAAGACACAGCTGGAGCTATTGCAAGCACTGAGTGAAGACTGTGGGGCTAATAAAAAGAAATGATTCACGCCTCATTTATGTTCACTTATGTTTTACATTAATAGAAACCAATAATAGGAACCAGTTACCATAAAAGTCATGGACCGTAAATAACACAAATGGCAAATAAGTATCATCTAGTACTTTTCACAGCTGGACAGGAGGATTGCTATATTTGAAAGTAGTTAATGGATTTTTATTGGAACTTTTCTTTTTAAAGATACAGTAACATGATTCCAAGTTCACTATTAAGAAATCAAATGGCACTTTTTTTTTTAACAGATTCTTAATGTTTTACTTTGAGAAATTCTAGGGCTTAGAAATTAATTCTTGGTTGTGTTATCAGGGGAAAATTATTTCTCTAGACCTTTTTCCCTCATATATATGATGGAATAATAACTATGTCACAAAGTTGCTCTTCCAATATATAAGATAATGTAAGTAACACTCTTAGCATTCTACTGACAACGTTTCCAAAGTTTGATTTTATTTGCCTCCAACCAAATCCTGATTATAAAGGTCAAATATATGTATATTCTTCTGTATTTTTAATAACCAATCTTACTATATAGTCATCTTGTATTTTTAAACTATTCTCAAAGCTTAAATAATAATGAAGTTATATTTCAAACTCCTAGCATTGCCTCTTAGGTTTAAGAAATTTACCTTACAAATACAGACAGATCATCAGAGTATAAATATTATCATTTGGAGTAGAGCATATATAATCTTAAATTTCCCTAATGATGTATGTAGCTTTATATTATTAGATAACATATAGGAAATGTGGCTTAGTCCAACAAAATCACAAAATATCCCATTCTGTGAAAACAAGAATGGAAAGAAGGAAAAAAGAAGAAAAGGATGTGAGGAAAGGAGAAGCCAAAGAAAGCTGAGAGAGAAGAAGGTGGTATGAAAAGAGGTTGAGAAAGAATGGGAAGGAAGGAAATACAATGGTGCACAGCGGAGAAAGGAAGGCCAGGGATAGGAATAAGGAGATAGGACAAGAAGGAAAGAGAAAAAGAACAAAGGGTAGAGAGGAAAAGTTAAAAAAAAAAAAAAAAAAAAAAGGAAGAAAAAAGGAAGCAGAAAAGGAAAAGAAGAAAATTAACAAGGATTATTATTTTGTGGTTTGGTAGATTAAGGTAATTTCTGAGTCTGTGTGTATAAGTATACACATACGTATGATATAAATCTGTGTATGTATCCATATATACACACATATAAAATCTTCCATATATATGTATACTCCATAAGTCTATATATACATGTATATCTTTATATGAATGTATATTTTTTTTTCTATGTGTCTTCATATATATACTATTGTGATACAATAGGAAATATATATCGTATGGTCTTTGTCACTGATTCCTAGCATGGACTTCCTAAAATGCTTAGGATCTCCTGAGTCTTGGAGTGCCTTTGTTATTCACAGTAAGATTACAACTAAGAGTATGCTAATGAGGTGATTTAGACCCCAAGACAGTCTCATGATGGGACTGGTCACCAGAAACACCAAGTGATTAGAAGGTTGAAGTTTCCAGCATCATCTCTGATCTCCAGTGAAAGCTAATGGAGTTTGAGATTGAACTTTATAATACTCTTACATGGAGATTTGATGAGCTTCTCAACTGGCACACACATCTATGTGCTGGGAGAGAGTGGTGCACCCCAACTCCATGGGAATAGAAGCCTGTGTACTCTGGACCCTTTCAGACTTCACTCTATGTTCCTCTTCATCTGACTGTTTACTTGTTAACCTTTACAATAAAGTATATGTAAATAAAATGTCTTCCTGAGTTCTTGAACCATTCTAGCAAATTATCAAACCTTAGGTTGGAATCAGGGGACCCCTCAGTTTATAGCCAGGTCATTAAGAAGTATGGAAGACCAGAAATTGCTACTGGTATGTGAAGTGAAGGACAGTTTTGTGGGGTCAAGCCCTTAGGCTGTGGAGTCTGCATGAATCCTTGGTAAAGAGTATCAGAACTGGCTTGAATTGTTTGGATGTCAAATGGTATTCAGAGCATCAGAGAACTAGTTGTTGGTGTTGGAAAATACCTCAATCCCACACATATATATTTCCCATACATATTTACACATTTATTATATTTATTAACTATATTTCTTATATAAATATATATGTATACATCTTCTATACAAATGCATATAACCATTTTTACATGTATATTTTTATATACGTGTAAAAATTGTTCACATATATTATTCACATATACCATATATATAGCTATATGTATATATTTTCCATATGCATTCCATTAATACTAAATACCTATAAGTATAAATAGAATGCTATGGTGGGAAGCCATGTAAAGTAATAAAAGTGGTTGTATTGAAAAAAGTACATTGATAGAGATGCAGAGTGAATACAAACTAGTATAAATAAGCCATATTATAGAAGTGTAAAAAAGCAAAGCAAAGCAGTAAAGTTAATATAAAATACCAGTGCTATAAAATTCATATAAAATGATATTAAATGTGCATGGTTAACGTTGTGAATATTACACAGTGTGGCAGTTTGGCTTGGATGACCGCTAGAGTATTTCCAACTCAGAAATATTTTATACCTATATCTTATTAATACCATATAATTTCCACATTTCCTAGAAGTTGCATTCAGAATTACCCCTATGAATTCTCTGCAGTACCAACAGCTATCCCATTGAAGATAGCATAATATACAGATTATATTTTATATGTTATATCTGATAACTTTGCAAGCACTGAACACTTAATACACAAGCAATGAAGATACTAGAATTATTTTACTTACAGAATAACTAATTAAATTGCTCATTCTGCGGGTATCATGATGGTACCTATAAATAGTAATAGGCATAATTCAAATGGTAAAAATTCAGCTACTTATAAAATTCAATTTATATTTGTTTTCAAAACTATTTTAAATGCCTTTATTAGAAGACTAGTGTAACCTATAATGAAACCATACTCTGAAGGTATGTTACAAAATAAACTAAAATGTTTCCAATTATCTCTCCCTTGTTTTCTTGCTCAATTCCACTCTGCGTGTCATTCTATTTCAGAAAGAGGGAGAATATTTAGCTTCTATGTCTTTTTGGAGGGATTTTTTTTATAGCTCTTTCTATAATATAGTGTATACCACCAGTTAATAGTATTTCCTTAAATAGTATTAATTATCAGTTAGTAGCTTTAAGAGAACAAAAGACGCACAAAATAAAGGGAACAAAAGACCCAGTTAGAGGAAATGAATACATAACATATCACAAATAAGGCTTGGATGAAGTGTCTCACTGCAAGCTGAGGAAATGGCTGTGTGTGTGAAAAGCAATCTCTAGGATGGCTGCCAATGATCCCACTTTGGGATTCAAGCCCTTGTGTGGACTACACTTACTACATTAAAAAAACAGAATATGGCAGAAGTAAGGGGATGTCACTTGTGGCATGAGGTCATAAAAAGGCTGAGGCTTCCATTTTGAGAACTCTCTGAATCATCTCTTAGATCATTCCCCTGAGGGAAGCCAGCTGCAGTGAGGCAGTAGTGTAGAGGCCAACGTGAGGGGGGATGAGATATGAAAACAACCAACTATACGAGTGACCTTGCAAGAGGCTCTCCTCATCCTTCCTTTCTTCCCTACAGTTGAGTTTTCACATGAAATCATAGCCTTGGCTGGCACATTGATTGCAACTTCATGAGAGATCTTGAGTCAGAGGTACTCACCAAAGCTGTACCTACAATACGCCAGTTTCTCACAGAAACTGTGAGATAAGCAATGTGTTAGTTTAAGCCATCAGGTTTTGAAGCCTTTTATTATATAGCAAAAGATGGACAGAGGCAAGTGCATGTAGGGAACTATCAGGTACGAGTTCCAGAAGTCTGGCCATGAAAATCAAAATCAACCCAATTCTAGGTTGATGCCACCTGGTGGCAATTGTCTACTCCAGATTAAATATTGATGGGGATGATAGAATTGTTGCTTTCTAGGGCTTTCAGGACAGTGACTATCATCACCCAACACATCCCACTCTCTCCTTTAGCCCTAGGAAGTCATTTGCTAATCTGGTATAGAGATTGGTATATAGATACCAACACACAGGGAAGATTTTTTTGTATCTGATTGAGTCCTGCATTGTTTTCAGTCCTCTGTAATTCTCCAACTTGTACTTTTTAAATTACTCAAACTTAAATCATGTTTAAAATTGTTTATGAAGATGTGAATCATCACATGAGATGTTAAATAAAGTTGATAATACATCTTATTTTTCTAGCAGCATGTTATAACAAGTACTGTTATAACAATATTTTTACAGAAAAGGAGTAGATCCTAGCCAAAAATCCTATGTGTTAACTCCATACCTGAAACAATGAAATTCAGTACTACAGAAATATTTGATTACTTCCTTGGTATATATTTGAAACATACTCTGTATTTATTAGAGTTAGATTCCATAAAACATAATTTTCCTTTCTTATCACAAAGACAAAGCAACACAACAATAACCTTTAAAAAAAGTCGACAAGAATACAATCATTGACAGAATTCTTACGTAGGACTAATAAGTACCTGACATGGCTTCCTATCAATGGGGGGCAGAAATTTGGATTCAGGAAAGGAGTGGGGACTTGTACACGCCAGCCAGTGGCTAACACTGACGCCGATCTTCTTAACTTTAGGCCTTTGGCTTATTAAGGGCTTTGCCTTCTGTAACCGCAGTTCCCATGGATCAGGATATTTTCTGAATGGTGAATTGTATATACCTGGAATCTAAAGAAAAAGAACATAATCTTGATGTTTGTATTTAATTTTCACATGACATAAAAGGAAGATAAAATTATATCATTACAAGTTTCATATGTTTAAGGGCTATTTTTAAAATAGAACTCTAGTTCTTAGCTAGAAGCTGACTTCAGATTCATCAAAGGAGATTGCAAGTACTCACTTTGTCTCTGCTCTAGACTAACAATTTTAGAATCATCCATAGTTAAAGACTAAACGTGTTAAAAACCACTGAGCAATAAAGTCAGTTGAGCACTGACTCTATCTAGCTCAGGTCAAGATCTCATGGTTCGTGAGTTGAGGCCCCCCCATCAGGCTTGCTGCTGTCAGCTCAGAGCAAATTTCAGATCCTCTGTCCCCCCGTTCTCTTTGCCCTCCCCCCCCCCAAAATGAATAAATGTTAAACAACAACAACAAAACTCCACTCAGCTCTAGCTTCTGTCTGGCACAGATGGTATATTTTATATAAATCTATTTAAGAAAACATAAAAGAAGGACATTAAGTCATTGTTTCTGTCTTGTGACTATTGACTATGTATGTGTGTGTTTATATATACATATATATACACATATATATATATGTATATATACATATATATTTAATCATACCATTCGCTCATACAACTCAACTGTGCAATGGTTGAACCAGTTTCAGGCACAAAGTATGCTCAGTAAATACTTGTTTTAATGGTTATGCATTATACAACCTGTTTAGTGGCAGCTATTTTAAGTTCTTTAAAATAATAATCAAAATGGTATCTTATATTAAGTGTTGTACTTATGAAGTGTCATATACCCTTAATGTTCTTTCATTGACTTTGTCACCCACTGTATCAAAATAGTCCGCTTACATATTAGCCCGGTACCTGCTATGCAATAGAGGTTCAACAGAGGTGTGTACAACAAATGTTAAATTCAAGCTTAGCAGACGTTCATTCTCTGAAAACTCAGTGGTACTTGAGTATACAAAATGTATAGAACCATATTTTGATACTTTTTTCATATATACAAATACATAATCATAAGGATAACTTGCATTTAAAGCATAGTATTGATGTGTTTTGGTTTCTGTGTAGATACTCTAGACTAATGTAAAGAATGTATCCATTAAACCCATATATTTTTCCTACTATGTGCTTTTCTCTTATGCCACCATTGTATGCATAAACTTTTCTGGTCACTATATTTACCTGATGGAATCAGCAGCTCCAAAGTAGTATGATTACCTAAGATTGTTGTCTTTGAAAAATCATCCTAAGAAAATTTTGTATTTCTTTTTAAAAAAATTTTAATGTTTTATTTATTTTAGAGAGGGAGAGACAGACAGACACAGAGAGAGAGACAGAGTGTGAGCAGGGGATGGGCAAGAGAGAGGGAGACACAGTATCTGCAACAGGCTCCAGATTGGAGCTGTCAGCACAGATCATGATGCAGGGTTTGAAATCATGAACTGCGGGATCATGACCTGAGCCGAAGCTGGATGCTTAACTAACTGAGCCACACAGGCGCCCCCAAATTTTTGTATTTCCAGCCTAATAACTTCAATTAAGTGTTAGCCTTTGTCTAAAACCAGTTGAGGCTACAGTCAGTGTCCTATCCCTAACGCTTCATTAATAGCCTGGGGACATTTTGCTCACAGTTCCTACCCACCTACCACATTGTTTCATAATCACCTTTGTGTGTATCAGTCTTCCCCAAACCAGCAGCTGGAGCACAGAGCCTCTGTTTTAGGCATTTCTGTATCCCCATGGCCTAGAGAGGTACTTGGTACATAGTAGACATTCAAAAGAATAAATGCTAAGTGTGGTTATGCAGAATAATGACGTGCTGTTTAGAAAGGCCCATGAAGCCTCTCTTTGACTCTTGTTTTCCAAAACCACATCAATATCTCAGTAAAATATCAGGTTTATTTTAAAATCTTATCAACTTCTTTCAAGGAATTATAGATTATACTCTTTTTATCTTTCTTAACATATTAGTTTCAAAGTGCTTTCAAACACATTGTGAGCTAGAACTAAATTATCACAGACCCATTGAGTCACCTCTAACTCAACTTTTCCTGTTACAGTTGAATTTTATTAGGTAAAATGAAACCAATGTAAATATATTTAAATATCTTAAAAATAGTCTTAAACTGGATTTTCTTTGGGATTTTTTTCCCTATATAATTTATACAAGAAAAAAAGCTTTTTGAAAACATTATGGGTAATCGTATAAACCATAGTTTATGTCATACTAACACTGTCTTAGTATAATACTAAAAATCAAATAAGGCAGATTCATTAAACAGTTTAAATGATGTTAATTAAAGAAAGTATGTACACATATAGTTAAAATAGTTTTTAGTGTAATTTTTAAGTGGGTGATAATTTTTAAAATGATTTTTAGGGTAATTTTCTATGATGAGAATGTACCTATTATAATGAGAAAAAACACAATATTATATTAAAAAGACTACTCTGACATAAAATATAACTAAATCTCTATAGTCCATGAGAAAGGAGGATGCCATTCTATTTCATGATGATCTGGCTAACTTAAGTCTACTAGTTTCTCATTTCCACAACCTTGCAGATTAAAATCGTAAAATACATACAATTTAACTAGGTTATAATTTATCACTTAAAAATGTCTATCTACTTCAATAACTGCTATTAACTTTACCCCATTAGAAATCTTTTTTGGTCTCCTTCCACATTTGCATGCACATGTATACATAGGCTAGATGGGAAATGCAAATAGATCAGTAGACATGATAGCCTTCTTAAATTATATTTTGCAACCTATATGGAGACCTCCTCATGTGTATTCTCTTTGCAATTTAAATCAAATATAGGTAGAAAATATATTTTAATTGAATTTAAAATGTATCATTTAAAATCTTCAAGGTGTCAGTTATTTTAGAAATTAATTTAATACATTTGCTAACTTACGTCAATGAAAACAGTCCAGCCCTCCCTCAGTCTCTACAGCAAGCAAATACTCTATTTATTTATACTGATACAGTATTCGTTTATCTGTTACTTCTTTAAGTAAATAAAACAATCCTAACTTACTATTGTCTCAATTGCTACATGTCACAATGCAGCATGTAAGGCACCGGTGAATAATGGTTTGTTGTTGATTTTTTAAAATATTACTATGAGTCACAAAAGACAAAGTTAATCCTAAGGGACCATGACATATTTTTCAGTTTTCACATTTTTCACAACTTAGAAGGGCTACTGCCAAGCTAGCTTTTGGGACTTCATTTTCAGCAATAATTTTCTAGAGTGACCAACACTATGGGGAAATCTGTGCTAACTGTTTTAAAAAAAAAAAAAGCCTACAACTGAGTTATTTGCAGTACTGTCATGCTAACATTCAACTCAATAAGACCCAAGAAATCTCAGGAGAGGACTCTGCTAATAGCTTCTTACTGACCTCCTTGCATCAGGCTGGGCTGCTGACTGGTGGCCCAGTGGTGAATACGGCAAATGAGGTGTGAAAGCACTGATTTTTTTTAAAGGCTATGATTCTGACTCGTCAAAAGGAAAAAAAAAAGGCAATGAGTTATATAATAGATATATATTTTTCTTGAATTCCCCCCTTCAGACCCTCTATCATGGGAACTTAAGCATGACCTGGAATATTAATTATGTCAGGTTGAGCAACGAGCAAATGTACCATTTGTTACCCAGTCACCCTTAGCATCACATTAATATCTTGAACCATTCCATATTTCTAACAATCAGTTGCTCTTTTCTTCTCAGTTTTTATTCTTTATAAGTATTGTGTGGGAGTGTACTTTAAAAAAATACAGTTGGTTTAAAAACAAGTAGATGGTAGATCTGAAGCATCTACTGTTTTATTTCATGGAGAATGTTTTTATGGTCATTTCCCACTCATCCACAGAACTTCATTTTGCCTGGAGGAAGCTATTTTCTAATTTTTTCTTCTTCTCTCTGTTATTGAGATTTACTTTTAAAACAAGTTTCTGTAAAATACAAGGAATTTGAGGCATGACTGTGTACCCCTACAACTTCCAAAGCAGAATGCCTAGCATTTCAATTTAGGATTCTGCCATCTAGAAATAATGATTTGTCATAATTTGAAAGTAACTGCTTATTCAGGAATGAAGAGCTACTAAGAACACAGGAGAGGTGGGCGCATTCAAGTTTTACTTCTGCAAGTGACGATTACACAGGAAATGGGAATTGCGGATTGCCGCATAAAGGAACACAATTAAAAAAAAAAGTATTTCCTTGGACCCGGACTCAGAATTTGTGAGCATGGGGGGAGATATGTGGTTCTAAAGAGGGGGGCTGATTGAAATATGTTCAGGTTCTAAGTTTGAAATATGTTCAGGTTCTAAGTTTGAATAAAAATTGTTTTACAAATTAGACTCTAAGCCAGCTCAGAAGAGTAGTAAAGACCTCTAATAAGTAGGAAAGTAAAAGTGGTCTTGAGACTGTGAATGAAGTATTTGTGAGGCTAAGGACTCTGCTGAATCAACACTGACCAGTGCACTTCATCATCATTATCAGGACATACTAGTGCCAGGGGGTTTATAAAAATCCCACTCAGCAAATAATTGCCCTGCTGTTAGGAGATAGTCAGAGTGTTAATACACTGTCACAGTCCAGTGTTTAGTAAGATATTCTACATTCAATTACTCTTGCTGAGAACTCAAAGGAAACATGGTCATTTCTCAGCTACAATGCTTATGCCTCCACATGCATTTCAGACAATAGTCATGTTACCCCTCAGTCGCAGGACCCCAGAAGGAATAAAAATTTCATGGGAATATTCGGTATTCACCAAGAATAGATTTGGTATAAAATTTATCTATATAAAGCAATATGAAAAAAAAAACCTACTAATGACACATGGTTTACTCTTCTGTTACTTCAGTTAAGAGGTAGAATTTTTAAATGGTTTGAGTCAAAGTACAGAGTGGTGTCATGTTGAATCAAGACTCCAGATGTAGCTGGCTTCATTAGTTTAGC